AACGACCGTTCGCACTTTGTAAAGTTCCGATTTCACGATTTATGCGGTGGTAACAGATATCAAAAGTTTGAAAAATGCCAGTTTAGTTTTACCAACACGTACGTACGTATACGCGTTGTTGCGATGTTTTCTGCTTTGATTTATGAAATCGATCGTCAAGGATATTTTACGGCGACCCATAACGCGCGGGTACTTCAATATATCAACGTTTCGCCCGGAAAACATCTAACAAACGTGGACTTTTATATTCGTGACCGAATTTACAAAAACATTTACAATCTGTGCCAGCGGCGAATCCAATTGTCAGTTCCGCTTTGAGAAGATTCGTTTTAAGGACGATAAACGTAATGATCGAAATGCTAACACGACTCGCGAAATGTGCTTCGATGGTCAGTTCTATAGAATTCAATTGCAGCCCGGCTTTTGAAAGAAGATTCACGGTGACGTGAGCGACGGTTTAGCAGGAAATGCTTCGCGGGCTTATTAATAAAGCGCTTCTCCCGTTACGAAAACCGCCGATAGACGCGACGACTAGACCAGCAAAGAAGCAATTAACCGAACAAAACCCATGCCGATAACCGTACACGTGCGATCGGTTTTTACGTAATAACTTTCGTTAACGGATGATGAATGTACGCGTGGCCTGGCTGCGTCTCGAACAACGGTTCAGGCATAATGCCAGTTGTTAACGTCACAATGCGATTGTTCGGGCACCTTTTCTCATGGAAATGAAAATCGTCTACCGTGCACTGATTGAACTGGATGGAATACGAAACAGGTGCGACAAAACAGAAACAATGGAATTGAATTCCTAAGGATAGCATTACATCCTTCTGCTCGAATTTTCTCTAAAACCAATTTTGTATGAAACAACTTACGGATCGATTGGAAAATTCACAGGATCTCTGCGTCGAAGCGTTTTAGTTCGATTTTTTGCAAAGTGCATTTTTGCAGAAAATACAGAAATTCGATTAGATGATGGTTAAATCTTTTTTACACCGTTAATCGAATTCCATTTTTTAAATGAAAAATATTTTTTTTAAATATCACCGTGTCAAGTGAGCAACGATGCTACGACAGAAGGTTCAATCAAAATTGTCTGACATTCTAAATTCAACGTTTTACCAGCGCCTGCCCGCATTTATAACGCTCCGTGGACGTTTATCGATCGTTTATAAACGTCCGTGTTCAAAAGTGTTTAACCCATTTGGATCGTTGATAAAAATTTCCCAATATGTGTCACCCGGTATGATTGTCTGTATGCATTTTACAATGCGATGAATGAAACAGAATCTTTTTCCCGAAGTCGGGCGTAATTTGGTCAGGCATTATGCAGCGGTATTCGAAAATGGGTTACTGTAAACCGACGACCGACTCCCTCCCGAATGAAACCAAGTTTTGCGAAATCATGATCGCGTCTGGGATCGAAATGACTGAATAAATCAAAGCGAAGTGGCCGCCCGCATTTGCGTGACAACTTAGCCGGCATACAATGTAGATTCTTAACGTAGACCGTAGACGAAGGAACCCATTGTTTGTGCCAGGGATTGTACCAGTGTTAGCTTTCGCGTTACCTACCAGTCTCACTGCTCACGATCAGAGTGAGACCTTTGCGTGGTATATCTACTATCGCGATGATAAGAGACGAGTGAAAAAACTTGCAGAAGTTATTACGTATTCCGATAAATTAACATAACCGGTGAAAGTGTAAATGACTGGTCGGGAGCGTAGCGCGTTTTTTTTAATATTTCATGCGAATCTACGTTTAAAATATCTCGTGTGTAGCAAAAACGTTCTACGAGTAAATGCAGTCGTAGTTATATTAAGAGAATGTTCGCTCGGTATGTATAATTCATCAGAAATGAAAAAAATACACTGCCTTTTCAATCTTGATTTCAATGATAGACCAACCCTATATAAAAGGAAATTGAAATAACCGAAATTGAAAAAACCACTAAACTACGTAATTTCCAAAATTAGCTAGCTCCATCGAGGTTCTATATTCGGGTGAACGGATTCAATCTTCAATTTTCCATTGTACTCATCGGAAACGATAGATGTATCCAAAAATATTTCGACTGTCAAACAACCGAATTTATAATATAAATATTATATACGCGTGAAAAACTGACTTTTCACATTGTCGTCGTTTATTGTCTGCTAAGTTTCCACGCGATGACGTTTACCAATTGAATCACGCACGATCTGAATTATTTATGGCAACGATTCGTTTGCCTGCAATAGGATGAAACGTCGAATGAAAGCACCCGATCAAAAGCAGTCAACGTCCTTTGAACGCGGAGGACGTATAACAATTTTAATTATACATTTTATTCGAATCGATTCTTTTTACTCTTTCCTGTCGGTAATTGACGATGGTGCCAATCGAGTGTAATCAAATTTCCTCCGGTCCATTCGGCCTCGTCTGTCTAGTCGTCAATTAATTGACTACCGAGCTAATACGAAAAAAACAGAATCCATATAACGCCGCATCTTTCTTCTTTCATTCTTTTACACAGCGCTTTGTTATTTGCATATTACGCGACACCATGCGCGCTATTTTATGGCGCTCATTAAAAAGGAAACTAGAACGGACCTAGCGGCGTCAATTTTCCGCATCCCGTTTCGCGTGGAGTTTCTCGCGCGATATTTTTTTCATGCGAGTTCGACGGTTCTCCGTTCGCGGACGAACGTAAAAGGTAAATGAATTAACTGCGCCAGAGTCACGACGAATGCGAAATAATCGTCGAACGCATCTCCCCGATATTGATTCCGTTTCATTGTAAGAACAGTCGTTATATAATACTTTATCGAAAGTGTTTCCACGATAATCTATAATAAGAAATAATAAGAAACGTAATCGTAATTAAATAATCAATTATACAATACATCATGAATAGTTCAAACAATAGGATTTGAACGAGGATACGACACGGATCTTTATATAAGTGCAACATGGAGAAACGACGATGTTAACAGTAATTTTTTATACGATATAACATTTTCCTCTTCGTCTTGTGCGTGAGGGAAAATGAAAAAAGTTTTCAAAGCGGTATCTGAACGACTTAAGAACGTGAGACCGCGATATTCAACCGAATGATTAATAACGTCTTCGTGACCTTCGGAACTTTTCCCTTTCTTCCCTTTTCCCTCTTTTGCGTGGAAACCGTACAACCGCGACGGAGCGTTTTCTTTTTTGAAGCAATTTCGAGAAAAAATTGCGTTACCCGCATTACAGCGGTTAGAACAAGAAACAAAGAGAAGCGACCATTCTTCAATTAATTTTAATTCTATGTAGTTATTCTGATTTTACCGAGGGTACTCGTCATAGCTTAAAAGATATAAAGCACACGAGCGCACGTATTCAGAATGAAATAAAATACTCGAAGGATTAAGATACGAGTGGTCGCGCGTAAAATAGGACCGTCCCCAGTAGTATAGGAGTACGATTTCTCGTACGCACGGTCAGTCGCCTGGCAAGGACTGGAACGGATGATGCGTCACGTCGAATCTAACGACATCGCGCACTGTGAATTCGTTCTTGAATTCCGGATATCCGGTTCCCCGGGATCACGTTCACCGAAAGGAACCATATCACGTTCCGTATTAACATTTTTCCGATCCACGGGTGACGCCTTTTGTGAGAACTCGATGCTTTCCACAGAGCACAGGAAACAATCTCATTGATTTTTAAATGAAATCCGTCGAAACGCGACTAAACGATATTTATCTCCATTACACATTCTTTATATTGTTTTCTTTTCTGTGCGTATATCTTTTATATAAAAGAGTTTTATCGAGGCCTTTAAAGCGTCGGCATAGTATAAGAAAGAACAGTAGGCTAACGCCGCTCGTTAAGAAGTATTTGACGATGGATGAAATAATTAATCGATTAGTCCTGAAGTATTCGAGATAGAAGAAAATTGTATACCACCTTTTATGCAGATAATAGCTACAACTTTTATTCGAAGCATTTTTCGAAATTTTTAATTCCGGAAATATCGGCGCGTGAAGACGATAATCATTTTTTCGGTGCCGCTGTTATTGTCCTTCTCGCACGTTGACCCGGTCTAGACAAACAGCTGATACGCGTTTCTTCCAGGCAAATAAATAGGTCAGTAATACCGAACGTTGCGCCTAAACTTTGGAAGTCTATATTTCCGAAACGGATCGAGATATCGAGATAAATAAAAAACGTTTTTTGTTGTCTTTACTTTCTGTGTCAAGTGAAAGGGTTTTCAATCAAAAATTCAATGTCGTTTTACTTTTCGTCCTTTTCACTGATATTAAATAATTTCCTGTTCGTCGAATGATTAAATAACAAATTCTTCTAATTCATCCTGTTTTTTAAAAAATCCGATCCAATTTCGTTCGATGCACACGACTCGGTGAGTTTCGATTACTGAATGTAATTCCATTTCGCATCTACTTTACACTTATTTGTCCATCGCGCGCAAATGACAAACAGTTGGACTGAATATTCATGCCCATTGATATTGGCATCGCGCATAGGTAATGAGAATCGTGTCGTGTTCCGATATGATGTTGATAAGAAAATGTGAATTTCATGACGTGCCGTTAAAAGTGTTCTACGGACATTTTGCAACGAAATGGGAGTACTCGACGAAGTATCACCAATCCAATTTCTGAAAATAAATTGTGCGGTAAAATTGTACAGTTAAGTGCGCCGATGCGGATGCATAAACGCGAGGGGAAATCGTATGGAGCAACAACGGTTCGACGAATCGCAGATTTTCCGATTTGCGAGATCAAAAGCGTCCTCGATACAGAGAGTTTAACATTCTGCTTCGCTTTCGACCAGGAAATCGTTTTGCTAATGTATGCACATACATACACGTGTGTGTATACGTACTCCTGCCAGTTGAATAACTTATCTCGGAACACGGAAGGGTGATTCAGGGGGAAACAATGAAAAGCGAAATACTGGTTGTCTAACACGCCACAACGTCAGCTTTTCTCGGAAATATTTCTCAGTTACGTAGTAGCTCGTCTTATTAGCGAGAAATCAAATCAGAATGTTCGCGTCAAATAAACGTTCCAACTCCCATCAGCTCTTCGTTTCGTATGATACATTTCGTTTTTACGAATTGTTCATTCCTGCAACATATTCTCGGACGAAACTAATTGCAAAACAATATAGGGTGGGTTCTAATCGATTTCACTTCACAAATAAATCCTTTGCCCTGCGCTGTATTAATTATTTTTAACATCCATGCCTAGTCCATTCGAAATTCTTACATCATATCGTTGTTCGGATTAATTTTTCACCCTCGCGAAATGAAGACTGTAAGTGGAATTGAATAATAGAACGAACTGTAATGAAACATTTTCAGCTGGAGACGTGCGGCCGACTCGTGTGCTGCGTGCAGAAGCTGTACAGAAGCGGGAACGCGACAGAAGAGGCTGAGCAACGGATCAATCAACGAGGCCGAAGGGGGGCTCAGGCTGGCCCCGAGTTGGAGGGGCCCTCCGGCTCGGAGGATGGCATCCTGCCGATCCCAGTCAGCCCGAGTCCCGCATCCACGTCCTCGCAAGAAGATGCTTGCAAGCCACCGCCGCGAAACTGCTATCGCTTGGTCATGCTCGGTAGCGCGAGGGTCGGCAAAACTGCCATTGTAGCACGGTAATTTCATCCCTCTCGTACCGCGACCCTTATAGCTTCCGGACAAAATAGCCGCTCGCCGCCGCCGTCCCGTTTTTGTTTTTTCCGTGATAAGAGCACACGCCCGGTACCACCCTGCGCGTGCCAGGATTACATTAACCCTTTGGCGGTGGAACGTAATTATGTCAGGGTGAGAAGTTTAAACGAAAGCTGCTTAAAAAGCTAGTTTAAAAATTTATGAAAACGTCTACCTTGAAAGTAATTTCGGGGCTTCGGAATCTTTTAGAACACACGTTGTGTCGATGATGAATACAGAATTTATACATTTAAGAACTTGCGTATAGTTGAAAATACGAATAAAAGAATATTTTTATAACATCGCGTTTTTATGTCGTATAATATTGACCGAATTTTACTGCAGATTCTTGTCGAACAAATTTGAGGAGAGTTACACCCCGACGATCGAGGACTTCCACCGAAAGCTGTATAGAATCAAAGGTGAGGTTCATCAGCTTGACCTTCTCGACACAAGCGGGAACCATCCGTTTCCTGCCATGCGACGATTATCCTTCCTAACAGGTATGTAAACCCATCCTTTTAAGAATGTATAGACTATATACTTAAACAATGCTAGCATGTTGAATTTGTTATTATAGATTTCTATTACTTTTAAAAAGCTAGCTACAAAATTTTAAATCAATTCATGGGTTTGTTGAAAAATTATAGTGATTTAAAATTTGCATGTACTCTCATGTTAATCAGTAGTAACCCAAAGGAAACTTTCGTCAATAACTCGTTAACTATCGATGATAGCGAAAAACTTTTATATGGAAATTGTAGATCTTGTCGTCCTCTATAAGAAAGGTCCTATGTAGTTTTCCTATAGGGCCAGCGGAGTTAGGATTGGGGAGTAGATATTCTCTTATTTCGTAAAAAATGGATTTACTACTCATCCAATTTTGATTGCACCCGCCTGGTATCGTCTTTAAAAATTTCTGAACATCAACGATAGGATTTCTGGATTCGACAAATCACCGAGAAACGGACCATAAATATATTTAATAGACCATTTATCGAAACTTCCCATTATTTCCGATGTTATGACTAGCATTACAGAGCACCAAACAAGAAAAACGTAAAAACGATCATTCGGTAAATTGTCGTCTCCAAAGATGACATAATGCGAGATAGGGATGATAACCGCGGCGAAACGACCGTCGAACACGAGTTGAGTGGTGTTCACCCTCGAGGAAGCTTACAATCGAACGGGAAACTGACCGCTTGCGGGGCGCGCGTTCCAGATTGCTCTTGACGTATCAGCGACAAGCTGTTGCAAACCGTGTGACGGAACATGACAATCTTCGAGGGGTCGAAGAAAGGGAGCATGGTTTTGGGTAGAATGAACAGTATCCAGATAGCGAGGGCGAGGGCGGGAGAGGATGAGGCCGAGGGAATCGATCCGATTTGAGCACAATTCGTAATACAGCACGCTGGAATTATTTAGCAGAGGGGAAGATTGGCATGAGAGTCCACGGTGGATTATTCTCGTAATCTTGTGTTAGAAATTATCTATGGACAAATCGTAAACTTTTCATAACTCGACTGACAATGAACACCGATTTGCTCATATAATTCAGACCGAACTAAATCATTGATGACGTGATTGACAGTAGGTTTACGGACATTCATGTACCTACTTCTATGAATACGCGTCAGTTCGAGAAGAGGAATTTCGGTATATATTTATCTCGTTAAATGGACGATGGTCGGTACGAATGGTAGAAGAAAAATGTAATCGATTCCTGTAATTTTCGTCATGTAATTCTGAATACATCGAGACGACATGCCTTGTAAACCTAGCGTTAAATCGTCTCATCGAATTTCGGTCCCGGCAGTTTGCCAAGTATTCTTCTTCTACTCAATCTTTCGCTGTACAACATAATTTAGCGGAGTCCTGACGAAGTTCCATGGAACGCGCACGATCGAGCCCCGAAATATTTCAGCCGAGTACCGCCGCCTTTGTAAACAACCGGCCGCAGGGAATATCGACGTACACGCGGAGAATGTTTCTCAGGCGGATATCTCAACTCGTTACAGAGGGAAAATCCTTGCGGCACGCCATTCCGCGCTTTTTTTTAACCGCGTCGACCCCAAGAGTGGTACGCCGATGCGCTATCATGATCCACGGCCACAATTTTGCGAAACGCGCAGTTCCGCGAGTCAATATTTGCGCGAAGCTTCGTTTTAGCCCCGCAGCTGCGAGGTCACAATGGGGTAGGAAGAATGAGGAAAATGGAGACCAACCATACGCGTCGAAAGGGTTCAGCGAAAATGGAAAAACGAGGCGACTTGAAATTCGCATGAAAAACGAGCGAATATTTCCCAGTTTAATAGTGTTGAATGTTTTACTTTTATTGCTAGGCCGATTCATTTTTAATTTGAGTGCTATTTGTGCTTCTATCCGCCGTTCATGCGCACGCGACTTCTAACCCGGATAGTCACGCTCGTGAAATTCAGCGGAACTTTAAAAAAAGACCGTAGCTCAATTACCAAAGTGGTAGTTGCGATTGATTATGTAGAACTTTATTCACTCCTATTTTTAACCATCCCCTGGTAAAGCGAATCTAAAGAATAATGCATCCTTATGAGATACATAATTAATGTGTTGAATAGGGACACGTATTGATTATATTTGGTTTTGAACCGCACGCAAGCGTCACGTGTTCATTGTTCACTTGTATGGCCAACACTGAACTGCCAATACCATCGTGTTCACGAATTATGCAATTAACGTGCTCAGAAAAATAAGGAATAAACGAATGATATTAAAACATATTACAAAACATAATGAAAATTATAAAGAGTGAAATCTTGATCACGTAGGAATGTGATTATAATTAAAAAATAAAGTTGGTTCATACCATCCCGATTATTTTCTCTGTATTCCGAAATTAACGGAAATCCGACGACGTTTATCGCATTTAACCATGTATACCCCGGCGTGATTAATGAAAACGTAGCGGAAGCGTATTTATCTTTCCGTAAAATATCACCCAAGACGCAGTACAAGTTGCAGGTGAATTTGCGTAATTATCGCACGTAACTAATTACAGGCATCAGCGCGCGACGCCGACCCGCGCTACGGCCGTGCGATGAATAACGCGTGAAACAAACCCACCGGACTCGATCCCCCGCGATGGGGGATTCAACGTCCGACGTTCTTCCTCCGCGAAATGCGTCCGGTGAATTTTTCATCAGCCGCTAAGAAAAATATCCCTCGAAGGGAGAGAGATCTCGGGCATGCTGAATAATACCGCTTTCACCGCGGTCGAGTAAATTGGGATTTGAATCGCGATGCGAGTTCTTTCTTTTCCTTCCATAGATATCGTATCGACGCCCGACGATTCGTCTCGTCGAGGAATTGAACTTCGGAAACGTCGAAGATTCTCCGTATCGCTCGTATCGCATCAATGTTCTATAAAACTATATAATTTAGTTAACAATGTAATACAATTGTTTCAACTGGTTACTTTGGAATATTCGTCAGATGTTTGAAGCGTCTTAAGACTCATACATAAAAATATGCAATGTTTGCACGTTGTTTTCCCGTGGCAACAGAGTTTACAAATCGGTGGTAATCGAGGTCGTAAAAATTCATCGAGAAAAGTATGAAACTGAAGAGTCGTTCAGTCGCTTACAAGAATATTGAAGCCGGGAGCAAACCGGGAGAAGTTCAAGGAATTGAATATTTAGCGAACAATCAAGAGATTTCATCGAACAATCGTGTAACAAAGAAGTTCCTTGGAAGACGTGCAATTCTTTAAACTTGTTGAAAATCCGTAGGACAGAATAAAGAACGTTACGATTAAAACGAGAACTATACTCGAACATCAGTCTTCAAGTCGTAAAAAAAAATTCTCGTATTTAGTGAATTTCAGTGAAAATTCAGACGTACTTTCCCGAAGGCTTCTCGAAACGGGGTCGACCGCCATCCGCAAGACACTCACTTGGTAATTTCAATTAACGAGATAAATTCACAGCAATGTCGCGCGAATATTCAAAGCATCCTGCAATAAACCCAGTTGTGAACCGTCGAAGAAGCAAGGCGACGGCTGACAGTATTCCACGATAACATGGCGCAATAAAGAACATGAGATAAGACTTGTTCGAAGTAATTAGATGGTATAGAAACGATTTTCATTAACTAGGCGACTCTAAAAAAAATCTGGCACGGCAAGGGAATATTTTTGAGCATGTTCAGAACGCAGTAACGTTACGAAGCCGATTCATTGGAAGATTTTGTAGAGAAAATCGGTTCTCGTAGAAAGATTATGCGACAAGTTGCTCGTGCACCTGAGAACAACCTATTCTACCGAGATAAAAGAAAACGCGATGCCAAAATCAATTTCCGGAGTGGAAAATGCCAGATAAGCAAGAACAGCAAATAAGTAAAAGAAACAAGATGCTAACTTGTTAGGAGATGTCGGAGGAAAGCTGTATGAAATTTACCGAGCGAAGGGGCAAGATAGAGAATTACGTACTAGGAACCAAAAACGGGAAGAAGAGCGGCGTAAACTAAATTTCCTCGCCAAAGGCGATGAAACACGCGCAACGGTGAGTAAGAAGCGTAGATTTTTATCTCGAACTCACCTTTTAAGAAGGGGAAGCGGAAACGACGAAAAGAAAGTTGAAATTTCTAAGGAGAAGGGTAATTGGTAAAGTTTGAAATATTCGTTTTAGTACAGATGGATAAACGCCTTGTGTCGGAACTGGTTTTTCCCTGAAAAATTTGATCCCGTCGAGTTATACGAGCAAGTACGTGCCTCGCGGGCCTTCATAGGAGAGTCGACCCCGATGCGAATATTTGCTGAGCGACGCACGAGCGCGTCGACTATGCAAAATAAGGGGAAAAAAGAGGGGTTTGTTATTAACTTGGCCGCAGTCCCTTACACAGCCCGGCATCAAGATTAAGCCGCACGAGAAGCCGTTATTAAAGTCAGCTTTGAGCATATGATTGGAAACTACCACGTCCGATAACACCTCCCAGATTCATCTACGGTCCCATGATTTATGACAACGCGCATTTATATGAATGCGGTTACAATCTTCAAACGATCTTACATCGCATATGCATAAATTTCGAAGTACAATCGTTTCGTAGCTTTTATCGCTATGAATTTTTAAACATAGTAATTGTTCTATTATTTCGAGAAACTAAATTGGTATCATTGATTGACGTGTATAGAATTTCGATATCGGCAAACTGAAACGGAGAGTCCTTAACGTAGCATCAGACACGAATCTCAGCAATTTAACGCTTTGACGTAGTCCCGCGTATTTCGATAAGCTACAAACGGTTGCCCCGGAACCCGTTCTCGAACTTATTAAACGCAGATCCTTTGATCTACGAACGCGTCTTCCAATAAACCAAACACGCACCCCTCGTGTCGAGCGAAATCGCCTTAATCCCGAATGAGTTCAACGTTAACAAGCTTAATTAGTCGCACGTATCGTCGAACAATTATAAGAGAAGTCAAATGACTGACGATCGAAAAATTCTTGTCTAAGATGTAATAAAATATAGAGTGTCGATTATAAACAGCTTTGACACGAGGAAAACGATCCGTATTCGAGGACAATGAAACATATAAATGCGATAACACGGAAAAGGGGAAAACTCCTTTCGATTCGAAGACGCGATGCTCGCGTTCTAACAGCTGACACATATTTCAATCTGTAATGTGAAACAATGGAAAATAGTGTACTCGGCGAGAAAATCAAATGTATCCTGGTTACGAGAGAAGTTTGATATGAGCGAATAAAGGGATTGTCTTTCGACGAAATGAGAAACCAGGACAAGAAGGCTCCAGGTGAAATGGAATCTCTACGTGAAATCGGTCCCCGCTATTCGTCCTGGCTAACCATTTTAACAAGTGCTTCCGGACGATCTCGGCTCTCGGTTCCGTTGATCACGATCGTCTGTCCTCGTTGTAATTAATCGCGATAAGATTCCATTTTAATTAACTTAAGTGTACGCCATTTCGTTAAACGAATTTCTTTCAAGGTGCTCTTCCTTTTCTTTGTCGTCCGACTGCTTTCCGCTCATAAATGAATTACGCTCCTTATCGTTAGTATCGGATGAACTTACTCATTGTCAGCTCTGTTCTAAGTATCTACCGAGGTACCTCTGTGAGATGCTTCAAACGTTCAGCGAATCTTCATCTTTGCACCGTGAAATTTTTTTCTTCCGCTTGTTCGTTCGTTCGTGAGCATTTAGGTCATAAACGTCTCAGCGAAGAGGAATGTCTCGCAAATGTTTAGTAGAGCTTTTTAACGACACCGTTTCACTGGAAGAAAACGGTGATCGATACGGAACCTGAACAAAATGCTCCTCGGCTGAGTTCGCAAACTGCTTGCTACCAAATGACGGGCGAACCCGGCCTCATTCATCCAGCGAAAGTCTATATTCGACGCGATAACGATTTCCTCCGCGGCGCAACCGGTGGTCCATTGAAATCGTACCTATATCGGCGCAATCACTTTCACGAGAATGTACGTACGCGTTCGTCACACCCTCGCCTCGTGTCGATATATTCAATCGACGACGCAACCTGCCGCGCGGTATCGAACAGATTGAAGCGCAACATTGGCTTAACGCTGATTTCCGTTCAGGAGCGTCCCAGTCTACTCGAGCGGGCACGATTCGGGAAAAACTGAGAAACCTTGATAGAAAGTTGTCGACGGAAATTCACGTTCGTTTCCGTGCACACGCGCAGCCCCTTTCGTCAAGAAAATAATCAGATTGATTTCCTTTTTTTAAAAAACAAACTCACGAACTCGCTTGCTCGTGATACACGATAAAATTCGTACTGTGTACAACGAAGTGGTTTTGATTCTGCAATTGTTTTTACATACCACAATTTAGTGAGCAATCTGAACTCGGTCGACTGTTTTTAAAATTGTTGTTCGTGAATAGACCGCAGATTTTTATCCAGAGTAAAACATTCGTGGTACCAATTTAATTCGAACAGAATTTATTTATCATTCAATCTGATATTCCATACATTTTAGTTCTCTTGTTAAGGATGTATTGGCTATACAGTCAATCCCAAAAGTTTACATACCTTAGAAAAACGCATTTCCTATAATTAAAAAGAAATCAGACGTCGGAAGAATAATGCTAATAATAAATAGCTA